CGTCTCTGCACCGATCCGCAAGACTGTACTAGACTCGTTCGTGACTCATAGAACCTATGAATCTAGAGCTCTGATACCAACTCGTCACGACCCAAAATTGCATCACAGGCGTCCTAATGGCACCTAGTCTCTAAGCCTAGGTAAGCCGATTTCTATTACATTTTGAAGCCATTTTCTAATTAAATAAGTAACCAAAACAAACAGCAAAATAAATATGAATATAAAACCTCCCAAGACTGGTAGTACTGAGCCACGAACTCTAACTGAATACATGGAATGATCACGATGACCGAATATACAATACTGTTTGATTAAAATTTAACAGGACAATGAAATGAAAGGACTCCAAGGGGTTGCGACGACAAAGCAACTCTACCTTGAATCCTTACGGTCCCGCTTGAACTCTGCTCAAGTCTGATATCTCCAATACCTGGCTCTGCACAAAAATATGCAGAAGTGTAGTATGAGTACACCACGGTCGGTACCCAGTAAGTATCAAGACTAACCTCAATGGAGTAGAGACGAGGTACAGTCAAGAAACGCACTAGTCTAATAACCTTTGCAATATAATATACAAAATACTAGAAAACAGATAGCAATAAGGGCGAGATAAAACAACTAGTGGTATGCGCAGAAAGACAACAAGAATACCATAAATATCACTCAACAATTAATAAATACATGTACGTCTAATTAATTCATGTTTTTAAAATAAATATCCGCCACATGTAATTCTTCCAAATAACTCTCTTTCAAGTGTAGTTTTCTGAAATAATTATTTTTCAAATTTAATTCTTTCATATAATTCGTTTTGAATAAAAAAACCTTCCAAATAAATATTTTCAATATAATTCTTTCAATCAAAAAAGTCACCATGTGACACCTCATTTCATAATCATAAAAATACGGGTCTCGGCCCATTTTCATATTTTCACGTCACCTCATGCCCATAATTAAATCATCATATTTTCCCGGCACCTCGTGCCCTCATTTCATATCACAACTGCACGGACAATTCACGTGCCAATTATCATTATCATTTTATCACAGCACCTCGTTCCCATATTTTATATCACAAGTGCACGGACAATTCACGTGCCAAATATCCTTATTATTTACTCATGGCACCTCGTGCCCACATTTTATTTTATAATTCGCCTGGCAATGGCCACATGATCTCAATTTCAACATAAATCAGATTGTTATCAATTTACCAACGACAAGATAAATTGCACAAGGTATAAAAATAAACACAAGCAAATCACAACATCACATGAAAATTATCAACACCACAACCCCACATCATCACATATCATCCCTTATAATAGCCACCCTTATTACTTCTATTGCCGCCCTTATCACTCCTATAGCCACCCTTATCTCTCCGCCCCAGAAAATATCAATAGCCACCCTTATCGCTCCTATTGGCACCCTTATCGCTCCGCCCAGATAATATTCCAACAAACACAAAAATAGTGAAATGCAACCCTTATACCCACATAATATCAACGGTGAAATGCCACCCTTATCTCCCCAAAATAATAACTCACACAACACAACAATTTACACGGGAAATTAATATGGCAACATAATAAAATTAATTCATATCACAATTTGCCCAATGGCCACAACCAAATTCCAAAGATATATCAAAATTATTTAATTTCACAATAAATAGCTTAAGGCTCCACACAATGTATATAACACCCAGAAACAATCAATAGAGATAGAAATTACTCACCATAAAGCAAAGCCTTTATTAATGCAAATTTACATAATTCTATTAACACTTCTTCTTAAACTTGCTGAAATTAATTATTTGCATAAGAAAATTCATATTGGAATTAATTTCCAAGAAATATTAAACCAACAATACTCACGAAATTTTATAAATATTTCAAGTAGAAATCACATCAAATTATCATATACAAAATAAATTCAACAATAAGGATTTAGGCATGGCGAACAGATGATTTAGTTATTTTTCAAAATTTCCCAATTTATTACACAATAATGCCTAAGACTTTAATTTAATGAATTTTGCACGTATAAGCCCGAGTACGTACTCGTCACCTCGTGTACGCGGCTTTTCACGTTTCACAAATGGAACATAAGACTCAATGCCTAAGGAGTAATTCCCCCACTCGAGGTTAAGCAAGACACTTACTTTTTTGAAGTTATGCCGATATTCCACAATCGTCTTCTTGCTTGAATTGACCTCCGGGCCGCTCAAATCTAACCAAATTAATTGTATAACTTCATTAAAATTCATCGAAAATAATTCCGGATAATAATATGTCGACTTAAAAATTTATTCCAAAAAGTCAACAAAAGTCAGGCGGGGCCCGCCCCTCTAAACCCTACAGAATATTTATGAAATCCGAACACTCATTCTGATACGAGTTCAACCATATCAATTTTATCGAATTACAATAATAACTCGACCTCCAAATCTTAAATTTTTGTTTTCAAATCCCTAAGTTCAAACCCCCGATTTACACCTCAAAAACATGTAATCTAATCGGATTATTCGATGATAATTAAATATTATGGAGTAGAAATGATCACAAGGGACTTACCTCAAGTTTTTCCGTAAAAACCTTGCTCAAACATCGCCCAACCCGAGCTTGAAATGCCCAAAAATGGCAAAAGCTCGGAACCCCTCTGTTTTTGTATTACCCATGGGTTTTCGCACCCGCGGTGATTTCTTCGCACTTGTGGCTTCGCACCTGCGGCAAATTTTTTGCATCCGCGGCTTCATACCTGCGGAAAAATTTTTGCACCCGCGGTGCCTGGCCAGTTCATGCATTTTCTGCTTCCGCGACTCATTTCTCGCATCTGTGGCCCTTTTTCATGCAAGTACGATCATACCAGATGCCCATCTACTTTAGCTCCTCCTCCAAATCAAAATTCGATCCGTTAGGCATCCGAACTCACCCTAGGCCCCCCGGGACCTCAACCAAATATATCATCAAGTTCTCAAATATCATACGAACTTAGTCAAATTCTTAAATCACATCAGACAACATCAAAACGACGAATCGCACCTCAAATCAAAATCTATGAACTTTGAACTTTCAAATTCTTTAACTTGTGCCGAAACGCATCAAATCAATTCGGAATGACTTTAATTTTTTCACACAAGTCATAAATGACATAACGGACCTATTCAAATTTCCAGAATCGAATTCTGACCTCGATATCAAAAAGGCAACCCCCCGGTCAAACTTTCCAAAAATTTAACTTTCGGCATTTCAAGTTTAATTCCACTACGAACCTCCAAAAAAATTTCCAGACACGCTCCTAAGTCCAAAATTACCATACGGAGCTATTGACATCATCAAAATTCTATTTCGGAGTCGTTTGCTCAAAAGTCAACTCTCCGGTCAACTCTTTCCATTTAAGCTTCAAATTAAGGATTGTTCTTTTAATTTAATTTTGAATCTTTAGTAAATCAAACTCGACCACACCCGCGGGTCATAATACATATTGTGAAGCTTCTCGAGACCTTAAGTCACTGAACGGGGCATAAATTCTTAAAAAGACAAGTCTGGTCGTTACAGTTATAGGTACCGGTTCAATTCGATCCATAACTTTCAATTTAAAATATAAATTTAAAGGCAAAAAATTATTAGAATGTAGAATTGAACCCATAACTTTAAGATTATATTTGGGTTCTAGCTAAAAACCTAAAAGTTGAACCCATAAAATTTAAATTCTGGATCCGCCTCTACAGCATATATAGCGGTGGCGAGCTTCACAACTAGCTTGCTGGTGATGGTAGAGGTGACGATGAAAATGATGGTGGTACTGGCAGGGGTGGCACGACCAATTTCGTGACCTAAAACCAAACTTTATGAGGGGCCTTAATTTTTTTATTAATAAAAAATATTTTATTTTTATTTGAATTCTATTTTTCTAACTTTTTTTAGATGCAAAGTTATTATTAATTTTTTATAATCAATTTCTCCTAATAAGTCTTTCTCAATTGACAATATAGCTAATCTATTTAATATCTTTGAGACATTATTGATCTTAGGTAAGGTTTTATTAATTTTAATTTTGAAACACTTTTTTTCGCTGAAGCAACGGTAATGGGAGTTATTAATATTATTCTATAAGTAATATAGGTATTTGGAAAATAATCAAACTTTTTTATTTGATTGAGTATATCAATTAAATTGTTATCTTCTAATTGTACTATTTTTCTTAATATTTTTGCTTCAGAAAATAAATCTAAACTATCAATATCGGGTTGATTATTATGATTTAAGGAGCATTCAAGATGAAAGCAATATTTTTTCAAATTTCTATCAAACTAGTGATCTCAATTTTTACCGCTAAATATAAAACCAAAAATATTTTCATATGCCTCTAATTGTTCAAATCTATTTTAAAGTGAAAAAATAACCTTGTCTATTACTCTCTCCGGTCCATAATAAGTGATTTTTTTGGCTTTTATTTTGGTCCAAAATAAGTGTCCTTTTATATAATCGAGAAGGAATTAACTTTATTTTTTTAAAAATTTGCCCTTATTTACATATCTCAATGTGTCAAGTTAACAACATATAAATTTTAATTAAGGATAATTGAGTCAAAATATATTTTTGTTCTAGGAGTCAGTATTTTCTTAAGGGGTACATCAAAGGTTAAAAAGTCATTTATTATGGACCAAAGAGAGTATGTATAAAAAGTAATCAACTCTAAAGGAACTTCGAGAGATTTTAAAATTTCACTATTAACATTCTCCTCAAATTGTTTCTTCCTATATATTATACGTTTCTTATAAAATTCGGGTTCGATATTAATTTCAAATGCAATTTTCTTGGTAGAAATCAAAGCAGTTGCAAATCCTTCATCTCTTTATTTGTTAAATAAATAAATCAAACTTTTTCACTTCACATATTTTTAATTTTTTTTTTTTTTATATATAACCTATTAGGTGTAGAACAAAAATTGGGGCCTCCACAAATGTGGGGCGCACTTGCTTTACTTGCTTTATGGACAGGCCGTCCCTGGGTACTGGCGATAGTGGAGGCAGTGGTGCTAGTGCTGGTGGAAGCGGTGGTGCTTCTGGTGGCGGCAGTGCTTTTGGTGGTAGTGGTGCTAGTGCTGGCGGAGGTGGTGGTTCTAGTGCTGGTGGAGGACGTAGTGGTGGTGGTAGAGCACCACGATTTCGACGATTTCCCACGTTAGGCTTTGGTGGTGGTGGTGGTGGTGCTGGAGCCTGGAGGCACATTACGCTTCCAATGATTTTTCAAATTGTTTGTTTTCTCATCATCTTATTGTGTATAATTTGTCTCTATCAAAAATTACTGTCATAGAATTCAAATAAATTAGTAGGAAAAAAATATTGTACCCAAAAAATATTCGAATATTTACTGTAGTAGTCTACATGGTTGTATAAATTACTTTTCTTATGAACAACATTCTAAAAGCGGACAAGAATATTTGTAAGGTGATAGTTGTGGCTGGCGGATGAGGCTGGTGGTGATGGTTGGCCTTAAATACAAATGTCCGTTGTTTAATGTTTTTTTTAGGAAAAATAACACAGTATAGCCGCTTTAAAAATAATAGTCGAAAAATATATATTTTTTATACATATATTATTGTATATTATATACAAAATATATACAAATTTTATACACATTTATAGCTATCCGATGTAATTTTGCCACGGACTAAAAGTGATCTTTCCCCATTCTTTTTTGTATGATCACAACGAAAAAGCGAGAGAGGACAATAATGGGTCTATATTTCATCAAATTAAGCTTTCTTGCAACAAAAATACAGTTTGGGGTGATATAATTCCATCTCCTGAACCTGAAGTTAGTGCACGTTGTTCTCTAAAAACTACACGTAAACCAAAAAAATAAAGAAAAGTACACCTAGATGTTCAATAAAGCAACGGGGAATGAAGGAAAGAGAAAAAAAAAAACTTTACTTCATTATATGAAATTAATAGCAATCCACTAAACTACACAATATATACCATAGTTGAGTAACAAATTGTAACGACCCGATCGTTCGTTTTGAGAGTACTAGCCTCAATCCCCTATTTATTATTTTTTCCGTATTTTTTTCTGCTTATATGACTTGTCAGGAGGTTTTATTTTTGGTTTCGGAGTGATTTGGGACACTTAGTCCCTAAAACAGAAGCTTAAGTTCTAGGATTTTGACCGTAGTTAGAACTATGTAAAGACGACTCCGGAATGGAGTTTCGTCGGTTCCATTAGCTCCGTTGGATGATTTTGGACTTAGGAGTGTGTCTAGATTGTGAATTAGAGGTCTGTAGCTGAATTAGGCTTGAAATGGCAACAGTTGAATTTTTGATATCGGGATCGGATTCTGATTCCGGAAGTTGAAGAGGTCTCTAATGTCGAATTTGACTTGTGTGCAAAATTTGAGGTCAATCGGACGTGATTTGATAGGTTTCGGCATCAGTTGAAGAAGTTTGAAGTTTGAAGCTCATTAAGTTTGAATTAGAGTGTGATTCGTATTTTTGTTGTTGTTTGATGTGATTTGAGGACTTGAATAAGTTCGTATGATGTTTTAGGACTTGTTGTATGTTTGGTTGAGATCCCTGGGGCCTCGGGTTGATTTTGGGTGGTTAACGGATCATTTGGAAATGTGTTGGATTGACTGAAGTTGCTGCACCTAGTTTTATCGCACCTGCGCACTTTGGGCCGCAGGTGCGACCCGGCAGAAACGGCCTTCGAGCCACAGAAACGATTATGGGCCTGCCCAGCTGAGACCGCAGAAGCGGACTCACAGGAGCGGTAAAAGGAACGCTGAAGCAGGAGCGCAGAAGCGGCCCTTGATCGCAAAAGCGATTTTTGAGGACTTAAGTTAAGTCCGCAGGTGCGGAACCGCGGAAGCGGTGAACCCCCCGCAGAAGCGAGATCGCTGAGCAGAAAAAAAGACTAAGTTCAAGGGTTTTATCCCATTTTTATTTTGGGACTTTGAGAGCTCGGTTTTGGGCGATTATTTGAAGGATGTTCAGAGGAAGCTATTGGGTAACGATTCTTAACTCATTTATGGTTATATTCCATTAATCTATAGGTGATTTCATCATTTAATTAAGCATTTGGGTTGATAAAATTGGGGAAAAAGTTAGAAAGTAATTCAACAGAATTTTTGGGTTTTGATTGAGATTTTGGTATCGGATTTGAGTAATTTTGGTACGAGTGAACTCGTGGTTGAATGGGTGGTCGTATTTTGTGACTTTTACCCGATTCCGAGATGTGGGCCTGGGTCGACCTTTGAGGCGATTTTTTAATTTCTTGTTAAAGTTTTAATTTTATTAATTGGACTAGTTTCTTATAATTATATTTACGGTATGTAATTGCTTTTGGCTAGATTTGAGTCATTCGGAGTCGGAAAGTCGTGGAAAAGGCAATCTTACTTATTGACTGAGCTTGGTTCGAGGTAAGTGGCTTGCCTAACCTTATGTGGGGAAAATCCCCTTAGGATTTGGTACTGTTGTGATACTTCTGTGATATGTGAGCACCGTGTACGCGAGGTGACGAGTGCGTACAAGAGCTAATTGATGTAAGATCCTGTTTTTCTAAGTAGTAACCTGTTACATCTTAATTGAGTTATACCAGCATGTGTAGTTATCCTGTTTTAGCCTAATATTGCATGCCTACGTGTCTTAAATGCTTATTTGAAATATTTGCAACATGCCTAGTTGATTTCTTGTTTTTCCTTGATCTGTATGAGTCTTAGTTGTAGAATTCTTGTTGTTAATTATCGTATTCGTCGGATTCGAACTATGTGTTTACTTTTGAGATTACGAGGCGGTACCTCGGGAGATCCCCAGCATATTTACTTTTGAGACTACGAGGCGGTACATCGGGAGATCTCCTTGCATATTTACTTTTGGGACTACGAGACAGTATCTCAGGAGATCCCCCTATTGTTTATCCCTATGTGTTGTGCTGCTATTTTCCTGTGGTTTTATTTTTGTTTAAATTTCCAGTATCACATTACATTGCTATTGTCTTCTGCCTTATTTATTATATACCAGTAGGACCCTGATCTGAGCTCGTCACTACTCGACCGAGGTTAGGCTTGGCATCCCCCTGTACTCATTCTACTTTTTTGCACATGTTTTGTGTGCAGAAGTAGGTACTTCCTATCAGCCTCGATATCAGTGAGCAGTGAGATTTGCAGAGACTTCAAGGTATATCTGCCCACGTTCCCAAACCTCGGAGTCCCTCTCTATTCCATGCTATGTTGTTTTCTTTTTTGTACTTTTCTTAGACTCTGGTGTATAGAGATACTTAGCTTTCTCTTATAAGCTTATGACTTATGACTATCGGGTTTTGAGATGTTTGTTTATACCCGAGCGTTGGTTACTGTACATGCCGAGCGACATTTTATCATTATATAGTTATCTGTTGCAGTCTAGTTGTCGAATTCTACTTTCATTTTCGTTATTTTCGCAAATTGTTGGGCTTACCTAGTCGTAGAGACTAGGTGCCGTCACGACATCTTACGGAGGGAGATTTGAGTCGTGACACAAATATAGGGGAAAATTTATCTGGCATTGGGCTATATGTCATTAACTACTCACAATGAGTGCTAGCTGAAGCAACGGCGAATCTAGAAGTTTGGCTACAGATTCACGTAAATTCAGTATCTTTTGCTCAAATCTTCTCTATATCTATTAAAAATTTCAATAAATATTTATAAATATTTGAATGTAGATCCAATCATTATTACAATATTAATTTGAGGTCGTTGTAGAAAACAATAAATTTTAAATTTTGGATCCACCTCTGAACTGAAGACGTACGGGAACATGATCAATCATCAATACGGAGGTGGTGGGGGTGGGAATACTCCTGGCCTAACTCTGTAGCGATCCTTTGTGGAAGGAACATGAACCGGTAATAAATGTCCAATTATTATACCGGCTCTCGGTGGTGGAGGAGGCGGCGAAGCAGGTCTCATCATGGCAGAAACAGCCAGTGGCCAAATTCCTAAACCTAAAGAGGCTTTGTCTATGCAGCTATTTTGAAATATGGCCACTTCTTGAATTAGTAGTAATGCAATGATATAAGTTATAATCACCCTCATACTTTAATATGGAAGCTGTGAAATTTCTTCTCTTTTTTTGGTGATTTCTCTAAAAGCTTATTGCTGGATGTATTGGATTATAACTTTATTTGATTCGTTAGAATTTATAATGCAAGCCTTGCATACTAGAAGGGCTTGAATTTGTCAAAAACTATGAAAGAAGAAACAACATAGAAATTCATGAAATTCCAGGACTAATATCAATTACAACAACCTTGAATTAGTCTTTAACTTCCTTATCAGTCCGTCAATTTTTTGTTTCACAGAAATTCCTCCGTTAATTAATGGGGAGAAAATGACATGGGGGGTGGGGGTGATTCTCTAATATGCATGCACTTGTAATTAGCAAGGCAATTTCTTTTAGTCTGGAAACCTTGCATGTTCACATGATCAGAATATGACTTTCTCTGAACTCCCCAAACATGTTAGGGGACTTATAAACATGGTAAGATGGAATTTCCATCATTTAAGAGCATATAAACGGAAGGGGAGTTTTGGCGCAACCGGTAAAGTTACTGCCATGTGATCAGGAGGTCATAGATTCGAGCTGTGAAAACAACTTCTTGTAAAAATGTAGGATAAAGTTACGTACAATAAACCCTTGTGGTCCGCCCCTTCCCTCGACCTCGCGCATAGCGGGAGCTTAATGCACTGAGTTACCCTTTGAAGAGCGTATAAACTGAATCAGCTCACATTATATATGAACTCCCTTGAACCATCTTGGTGGAAGAGGGTGGCAATGATGACTATGCATAGGTGAAGCAGATAATAGAGATTGTTGTTTTTCAAGGCAAATATTTTTTATTGAATGAAAAAATACCACTTCCCTCACTATTTTGATAAAAGTAATTTTCCTTTACAACTATCTCAATTCTTAACTTTATACTGCTCCTATTATCTTCGAACAAATTTAGTATATTACAAAAACAATAAAAAAAAATCATCGTCCTGTACACCCCAGCAAAGGTTCGGTAGACGAGAGATCGATTATAAGCAGGGCGGAGCTACAATTTTGATTACGGGTTTCACAGTCCGAACCCTGTACATGTATTAAAAAGCTCACTTCATATGTATAAATAATTTATTCAGAACTTAGTAAGTTTAATGTCTTTTTAAGACTTTAGAACCCATAAGCTCAAGATCGTAATTTCGCCTCTACTAATTGTTGAATCCGGAACCAAAATGTAGTTCTTTTGGACTCAAAGAACCAAGATGTGTGGGAAAAAAAGCTGGTAACCATAATATATAACGCCATTTTATAAGGCGCTATACCTTAACGGTCGTTTGCCCAGTTAAGTATAGCGCCCTTATTTAAGGCGATATATTTGAATTCAAACGGGCGGGAGATAGCGTCCTAACTTAAGGCGCTATAGTATAACGCCCTTACCTAAGGCGCTATACTTACATAAATAATCGTCCCTTCCCCTTC